ATTCTCCTATCGATGATTTTACTGGCACTTGAACGACAGGAGAAATGTGCGTCATATAATTCATAAGGAGGTTGCCCTGCCCCTATGGCAGATTGGGACTATCAGGGTCGATCGATATCCTTCTAGTCTCTTCGCTCGCATTCCTCTATTCTCCGATTCTCCTGATCGATATTTGTACCTTCCTTGGCGCGTTCTTCCGAATCTTATATGCTATAACCTATTCTCCAATGTCGCAAAGTACTGAGGAGGCCCTATAATGTTGAAATTTTCAGGAGCAGAAGGGAGGCAAATCTTTTCTGAAACTTGGATTTGTCGATATTAATCTTTCTGAATTTGCTGGGAGCGGTGTGGAAGGTGAGTTCTCGTGGTTTTTTTTTACTTTCATCTTGTGTTCGAGAGAAAAATTTTCTGCCAAAAGCCCTCTGTTCGGTATAGCTCGGGGTGGAATATTCGCGTTTTCTCCATGAAGTAATTTTTGCATCTTCAGGGATCGTGCCTTCTCGCATTTTTTTTTCATGATTCAATTTTGGCTTCTTCAGAGAGCGTGCGCTAAGGGTTGCCTTTGCCTCTTCAGTGCATGCTAGGAGATGATGAGGTGAATTCATCAGGGTGTAGAGCGCGCGCTCCTCAAGCTTTCCTTATTTAATCAACTACAAAATAATGCCGGATTTTTATTCAAAATATAAGAGGGACCCGAACGGCTTACTGCTATTTCCGCTCAAAGATCTGTACAGACAACTCTCCAAGGCTGCTCAATCGCTAAAGCAGCGCTCAGAGCCCGCGTGCAACCTTGCAGAATCGAAAAATCGGCGGAAAGATTTGGGAACGTCGACTGGGCGAATCATAGAATCAACGAAACGAGCTAGATAAGTATCGATCTGTGATTTTGCGCAGCTGAAGCATGAGAGAATTGCCGATTTTCTCGATCGATACATGCCTAAGCTTTCCCATAAAAGCGTTGCATCCTGTTTACGCGATTCCTCGTTTCTACTAAACTACCTATCGATACATGTCTAACGCCTTTTCCTGATTCACAAATCCTCCCGTTCTTCGATTCTCCTGGCGCCAAGTGTGGCAGGTGGTCAACAGACCTGTCTATGTGGTAGTATGAGGCCATGATGGACTAAGCCAGAACTCAATCTCAAGGAATTGCAAACGTTTTAAGCTCCCCCTTTTGCTGCTACATATAGCTCCTTTCCCCTCCTCTGCCCGTATACTAGCTTTTCACTTTTATGGGAGACCTCTCATGAGTTGATCCAACTGCTTTTAAGACAAACCCCGCAATCGTATATTGTGATCAGTGCGTTCAGTTACAAATCTATTGTCGCTTTTGACTCTCAAGAAAAGGAAAAAGCGAGAAGGAATCATGGAAACACCCTAAACGACCGCCCCCCCCCGCCGCAGCCCCACTGTACGAGTTCTCCGGACCTGCTCGTGTTATGCCAAGCAAGGGAATCCTGCCGTCCATGACTCAGCAGTTTTTTTCCCCACGTCACGTTATATGCTAAAACCATCTAAAAACGTGAAAAGAAAAAAACGACGGTAAAAACTGCGTTTGTGACAGAAAGCAGCCATTGGGTTTCGATAGGCGGGACGACTGGAGAGGCGTCAGACCTACCCCTTATGAGATCCGCCGGCGCCTTCGTTATTTACTGTGAAGCTGCGAAAGTGGGACAGTTTCAGAAAACGCGGACCAGCCTGCTTGAGCAAGGAAGGACGCTTACGGATTGGTTGAGCGTGGGGACTATGTTTGAGGATTGCGTGCTTCGTAAACTGCCCGCGTATTAGTTTTCCGTAATGTCATCGAAGACCTTTCGTGAATTGATTCAACCGCTTTAATTGCTACTCCTTTGAAAGTACCCGGGGCTATAATTTTTTTTCAAAAGCGAACCTAGAGGCTTTCGATAAATCTTTCAAGGGTGCACATTTGACTCAACCATTAGCATCGAGCATATCAAGGGTTTTGGAGAGAACTGGTTGGATTTCACGTCGATTTCGGCCCTTCCATATGCAATCCGCACGCTAATTTGTTCGAGCGATTCCCAGATGAGCCAGCCAAGAGTTGATTTGGTAAAGTGCAGAGAGGCATTAACAGAGCAAAAAAGCGCGCTGAGAGCCACATGAAACATTTCTCGACAGGATTCCCAAATGTAGGCGTGATTTCATGTTGTTTTTTTTTGGGTGGGGGGGAGGAAGAAGGAGGGTGCAGGGGTAACAGGATCTAAGAACTTAGGAATTGTAGGAAGCACCTCTAGTGGAATGCACACGTGCAAATCCCCATATGCCACAAATGTTTTGTTATTCTCTTTTCCAGTGGCCTTTGTATGGCTCTCATTATACTGGTAATTCTACTCTAGAACTAGATGTTGACGATTATGCAGCGCTACTTAGCACGAAATGCGTTTTTTTTTTCTTGTGGATGCCCTCTCACTCATCAACAACAGGCAGTTTTTCGCTACTCATCCTAAAATTAGCATAAAAACGCAATCAAATAAGATATAGTAGCGGTACTCACAGTCTAGTTCGCTGCGGATGAAGGGGCGTGTCATGAGAGTGGGTTTGGCGCGCCAACAGCCCGTTCTCCTCAGGTTTTGAAGCGGATAAGCGACATTAACTGATGGAAAACGAGTGATATTAACGATGTGATACCGTCTTATCGCTCACTGAAAAAAAACACATGATTAGGCGCTAAACCCGTTACCCTTGACACGCCCCATCATAAACAGCGAAATAGACGATATTTGAATTGAAGAGAATTATTTGTTCAGGTATGACACGTTCCTATCTATTAGACGGCTACGGGTTACATCAACGGCAGGATAATTCGAAAGTTCAAATCAAGATCACAATGACACATCAAAGCGCTGACCCATTCTTTAGAGTGTAAGTTATTTCCTTTCTCTAATTAAATTTAAATTGTCTGTTCTTGCTTTTATATAGTAAATGTTTTGTTTACGTGGATACTTTCTTTCTTTTGTCCTGCATTTGCTGAGAGTATCCTTCCCGATCCAATCGATCAAACTGTTCTGCCCTTTTTTTTGCCTAAATCCATGGGCAATGAGAGGACCGGTCGGGTCTCAGTATCCTGAACAGGGCAGGACCCCGGGTAGTCTCGCGCGGGGTCGTAGTTGCTGGCTCTAGGAATCGGGTAGTATTTGGCCTCAGATTTTTTTAAGTCCACATCCCCTCCTTCAGTAGTTGGTAGAGCAGCAGAATTCCTTCACAGCCACTTTCCGGTGGTTATAATTAATATCTGTATTCACGAACTACCCCACCCCACCTCAGCTCACGCTCGACCACAGCTTTTTGGAGAAAACTGGAAAGTTTTCATGGAAAACTGCGAAAAGTTAAACTTGGAAAGTTCGGTAAGATGGAGGTAGAAAGGGGAGGGGGCGGAGTCGTACCAGAATAGGAATGTTGGGGAAGGAGGAGGGGTGTATTTAGTAAAATATTCCCCAGGTTTTACCTTGATCCTGAGAGCGGCAGAGCGCAAGGTCTGGAAAGTGCCTATAGAACCTCTAGCGATTATCGGGAAACTTCTATAGTGACTGTGAGAAAAGCCCCCAGTAGGGGTGAAAAGAAGTTATCCTTCGTGGTAAAGGTACCACGCAGCGGTAACTTTGAAGTTTAATGAGTAATTTAAAGTGCTCCCGTTGAATGGCTTCAATATTGAAATTCTGCAGCATGCTCGTGCTACGAGCCTTTTTCGTTTAAGTATGTCGTGAAGAAGACGTAGAGACGCCGCTACATGACCCTTCGGCACTATTTACCCATTACTGCCCCAACCATCCTGTATTTGACCGACTTTTCTCCGTGGACAGATTTGGCTCAAATGTTGTCTCCTGGGGTAGTTTGACCTCCTGAATACGAATATCACATTCGCTTAGCCCGAAACTTCCTGGCGCCCGCGCCACAGGCGCCGGTGATTTGGGGTATTTTGGCGCCAGCGCCTGTAGCGCGGGCGCCAGGAGGTTTCGGGCCGAGCGGATGTGATATTCGTGTTCAGGAGGTCAGACTACCCCTGGGAACAAGTTTTCAGCGAATTTGGTGATTTAGGGTATTTTGGCGCGGGCGCCAGGAGGTTTCGTGCCGAGCGGATGTGATATTCATATTCAGGAGGTCATACTATTCAGGAGGTCATACTACCCTAAGGAACAAATTTGTAGTCTACCAACGAGAAAAAAATCGGGTCAAAAACTGGCCTTTTTTAGAAAATTTTTGATATATGATTTATTATCGGCATACTGTTGACAGTGGCACAC